TGAATTCATCATACACTCATCAGTTTTACTACTCGGACTAATCATACATAGAGTTATATTCAATATTATTAGTATTTCAACGAAATTTTTAGATCAAATTACAGGACTTGTCAAAATTATAGGCCCCCCTTTGTTATCGAATTTTTTCTATGAAAACGAGCTGCTGAATCAAATGTAAGTAGTGATTTTGATAGCTCCCAAAGTTCTCTATCGATTGCAGTATATTGGAAAATTTCAAAGATGACTTCACCAGCAGATTTTTTCGAAAATACGTGAGACACCATTTTTGACTTTTGAAACGGTTCATTAGACATCATTTTCAATGCATCCATCCGATAGAGCTGAAAATTCTGAGCAAAATGAGTGGTTGCACGACTCTCCGCGATTTTCTAGTGAAAAATTATAAGTATGTCAAAAGTCGCAAAAATCACGAAAATCATCAAAAATTGTGGAAAATCGACTAAAACACATTTTTTTTACTTTTGACATACTTATAATTTCTCACTGGAAAGTCGTGGAGAGTCGTGTGACCACTCATTTTGCTCAGAATTTTCAGCTCTATCAGATGGATGCATTGATAATGATGTCTGATGAACCATTTCAAAAGTCAAAAAGGGTGTCTCACGTATTTTCGAAAAAATCTGCTGGCGAAGTCATCTTTGGAATTTTCCAATATACTGCAATCGATAGAGAACTTCGAGAGCTATCAAAATCACTACTTACATTTGATTCAGCAGCTCGTTTTCATAGAAAAAAATCGATGACAATGGGGGGGCCCATAATTTTGACAAGCCCTGTATGTCCTTTTTCGATAAAACATATACCAAACTACCGGAAATTTGAATAAAAACTATAGAATTTTAAAATAGAAGTCTGAGTAGATTCGATATTATTAGTTATTTAATCAATATCTTGCTTTATATTTCTATATCATTTTTATCTGTTCAGAAAAATATATCTCATTTCAAGTAATATGAACTTGTATGATATTATATGCACACAACGGTTTTCAAAAACATTTGGGCTAATATTTTTCAATACTATTCTCAGACAAATGAACATTACAGAAGTATGAAAAAATGATAAGAACAATTTTTTTTGCAAATCATTGTATATAGATATGTGTATGTATCATATTTTCTACAAAAATTATGTCTGTTATTCAGTTGAGTATTTACTCAAGGCATTATTCTGATTATACAATCTAAACATATATAACTATCATTAATGTTTGATTTATTTTAGGAGAATAATGGACAGCAAACAGATCCGTTCTCAAAGCAAAAGAAATTAGTCTCAAAGCAAAAGAAACTATTTTTGAAATCTCTTGAAAAGAATCGTTCAACATTTATTGAATATTTTTTAATGGCTGGTTTTGATCCATTAACTTTAATCGAGAAAGATGATATTTCTAGTTATGAAAAATTTATTTTAGACTTATATGCTAAGACTTCTGCGGCAATGAATACGGTTGGTTTTTTTTCTGAATCAATTTTTTTTTTGCTCTATTTAAACGTCTTTTTTACTGTAGAGTCATAAAAATCGTATAACAAAATTATTTGGAAGATTGCCTCTTAAATCAATTCGAGAACTTAATGATAAATTAAATAAATTTGTAGGTTCCTTTTTTGGATCGATTTATTCATGTGAAGATGATAGTTTTAACAATCGTATAAAAATTGATTTGAGTAATCATGTATGTAATTGCTGTAGATCGCATGAACATATTGAAAATGATTATGAATTAACCACTATTCACAAGATAATAACAAATGATCCAATCGACATTACACATATGAAGCATCGTATGTTGCGTGATCTTTTTTTATGGTCGATTTTTATGGATATGCCTGAAATGGCTAAAGTTTTACTTCTTCATGTTCAGTCTCGTATTTGTGTTGCTCTTATTGCTTCAGCTATATTTAAGCAATATTCAAAATTATCTCAAACAATTGATTTAAAAGGTAAATATCTAACTCAATCATTTGAATTTGAAACATATGCTGCAATGTTTATTGATAAATGTTATAAATATAATGAGAAACGTGCTTGTGAATTACTTTTACGACAAATACCACTTTTTGGTAATATTACATGTATGCAGGTTAATAAAATTAAATATTAAAATTAAAAGATAATCAAAAGAATTTTCATTTTCTTAGATTGCTATTTCTAGTGAAAGTGATAAATTAGTTAAAACAGCTTGTTTTCATGAAACATTAAATCAAGTATGGTATGATAAATTATCTTTGACTAATCGTCATATATCAGCAAAATTATTACAAATTCTTTCAATTCTTACTTTTGGCTTAATAGCACCTTGGATTATTAGTTATCGAAAAGAAAATCAAGAATCATTGAATGTATGTAGAAGATTGATGTTCTTTTTTTCTTCTTTTAAAAAAGGAAATTTTTTTTTGTAATATTTTATTTTAGAATACAAAGGATGATGCGTAAGTCGACTTTATTTTAATAATGTAATGATGTTATAAATAAATAATTTTGATTATAGTCTCTCTGAAGAAGGTATAAACTATTATGTCGATGAACAAAATTCAAACGAAGAGAAACGTACAAATTATTGGAAGCGTTTTCGATATTTTCATGAAAATCCATTAATAAAAATGTCTTATCATTTTGTAAGTTAATATTTTAATTTATTTTTTTTTTTTAGAATACAAATTAAGATATTTTCTAATAATCTAGATTAGTTATGTATGGTTTTTACTTGTATTCAGCTATATGATGCTTTATCGTCTTGATGCTCTTAATACATGTCCTATTCCTCATTGGACTGAATTCTATGTGATTATTACTGTTTCAACTATGTTTTGTGAAGAAGCTCGAAGAGTAAAACAAAAATTTATTCTTTGCCGAAAAAAAAAAAAATTTTCTTTTTTGCTTTCTTTGTTTTGTTATATAAAGCTTTATCATGAATATGATACACGTATGACTGAACGATGGGGCTCAACTTCATCTACTATTTTAACTGTATTGTCAAATGTATTTTATATTATGCCTTATTTTCTTTTTTATTTGGGTTTTGCCTTTCGATATGGTAGTTATGATGAATATTTACTTTCTACTGCAAGGTTTATTGAAAATTTTGTAAAGTTAATTATATATTCTATGTATTTTAGAATTATTTGGGCACTTGATCTTGAATTATGGTATCTTCGATCATTAAAATTTGTTTTTGCTTTAAGATTTTTAGGTCCAAAATTATTTATGTTAAAAAATATGGTTAGTTTAGAAATTAATTAATAATAAATTTTCAAATATTAATATAAATTTTAGCTTCGAGATTTATTTGCTTTTGTCTATATGATTTTCATAGCAATGACTGCTTATGGAGTTGTATCACGAGCATTGATTCTTTATAGACAAGTATCATTTACAAGTCATGGTATTTTTAGTCAAATTTTTTATGATCCATATTGGTTTATTTATGGAGAAGTGTCGGATAAAGATTTACTCGAAGGTAATCATTATTTTATTTATTTGAAAATAAATCTATTTATTTTTTATATTTAGAAATAGTTAATAGTAATAGTAGTACAACAGGAAATGTTGCACAAGCGATAGCAACACATGTTTTATTAGCATTTCATATGTTATTGATTAATATTCTTTTACTTAGTTTAATAACCGCCGTTTTTACGTAAGTATGAATTAGAGATGAATAGTAATGAGAAACTTTGTTCGCATCTCACTTAATCAGTATTTTTCCCATTTCATAGTTCAGTGTCGATGCGACTATAGACGAGCCATTAGGGTATTTGTCATATACATCCAAGGAAACCGATTGCTAACTTTGAGCAAGTTATTCACGGCTTATATTTTGCATTTTCCATCAGATATTAGGTTTTTTTTTTCATCTTGTGTGATACACTTTTTTTTGTACTAATCTACTTCTTTAATTTCTTTTTTGTGTAAGAAAAACAATATGCTGATAGTAATGTATAAACCCAATCTCAAACAATGGATCGAATAGAATCCTAATTTTCTGTTAGAGACTATTGTATGATAACTGATAAGAAGATGGTTAACAATTTAAGAACTTTGTCTATAATGATTCTATCATCTAGCTTTAAGTAATGATTTACCGACTGTAATCATAATCACTAGTAAATGTCGTTCTCGCATCTTGTGCATGGTGTTATTTTAGATGATTCTGTTAAAATAATCATCAATAAAAAAAAACACGATAGACTTTTCTCAATATGAACATGCAATATTTTTCCAAATAAATATTTCCACTTTAAATATTTTATTTTTCAATCTAGTCATTCAATTGATGAAGTTCGAGAAAATACAGAATTTTATTGGCGTTATCAACGTTATGCATTTGTACGAGAATATTTCGAACGTTTACCATTATCTTGTCCCCCATTAATTGTTATTTCACATATTGTATTACTTTTTTTGACTATTCGACGTATATGTCATTCGATATTGTGTCGAAATCAAGCGCCAATTGAAAATCATGTACCACTATCAAAAAAGCTTGCACGTGTTTTTAGTAAGTTTCAAAGAATCTTCTTTATTTTAAAGTTATAATGTATGTATATATTAATAATTAATATAGAAATGATTCCTACGAATGACTCACAAAATAAACAATGGGATTCTTTTGAAAATGCTGCAACACATAGTTATATTCGTTCAATATTAGAAAAAAATAAAAACAAAGATACTTTGTCTACCAGTCATGG